GCATGCAGATGTGACCCAGGAGACAACTAGGATGGTAATTGCCAAGATACAATTGAACTTAGCAATTAAGAAGTCTTTGGTGACTTAATAAAAGCACTTCCAGTAGAGGGGTAAGTCAGATTTGCTGTGTGTTGGGAGAAAATAAGATATATAGAAAGGGATGCTGTAAATATAGATTGTTTCAGGAAGTTTGGCTCTAAAACTTAAATCAGATCATAATAATTCACTGCTTCAAACCTGCCGATGGATTTCCATTACATTTGAAATAAAATTCATCCCTTCATCATGGCCTATTAGGCTTTATATGCTTAGGACTCTGCTTATCAATCTGACTTCTTGTACCACTTTGTCACTCTTTATATGCTTCAAATGATTGGATTCTTTCCTTCCCTCCAATATATCAACCTTGTTACTATCTTAAGGCCTTTGCCATACCCTCCTCTTTTTAAAAAAAACACACAAACAACCTCAGCTGAGGACATGGTGAGAGAGAGAGAGAGAGAAGAGAGAGAGAGAGAGAGAGAGAGAGAGAGAGAGAGAGAGAGAGAGAGAGAGAAAGAGAGAGAGAGAATGAATGAGAATATCACTGGTGTGAGAAAGAAGACATGAATGGCTGCCTCCTGAATTCACCCCAACTGGGGCCTAGATTGGAATCTGAAATCTTTAGGTGTATAGGATGATGTTCCTACCAACTGAGCCACACTGGCAAGGGCACCACTTTCTCTTTTTGATATGCTCTCCATTCAGACCCTCGCAAAGCTTGCACAACAGCAATGAGGGCATACTGGTCAGATACCCCTTAAGAGAAACAACTGTGAGGAGCACACCCACTCAAGCACACTTACCGTGGACTGACCCAGCCAGTGACCAAGAGTGTTGGGCCACGTGATCATTTGAGTTCCCACCGGATGTCAGCACTCCTGCGTCTAAGGCAGCGGTTCTCAACCTTTTTAATGCCTGACCCTTTAATACAGTTCCTCATATTGTGGTGACCCCCAACCATAAAATTATTTTCGTTGCTACTTCATAACAGTAAGTTTGCTACTGTTAATGAATCATGATGTAAATGTCTGTGTTTTCCGATGGTCTTAGCTCTACAGCAGTGGTTCTCAATCCGTGGGGTCAATACACTTCCCCTTCCAGACTGGCCTGAGGACCCTGGGGCTGGAGATAAGACCTGGGGGGTAGTGACAGGCTGAGGCCGGGCTTAGCTGATCCCTGGAGCTGCTGTGGCGCTCTGAGTGTGCTGTTCGCCAAATGAGTTTTCCAGGGGATGGGAGATGTGGCCTCAGAGGTGGGGTGACATCAGGGACTTGTACCAGGCAGCCTTTGGGTGGAGCCATGTCTCAGAGAGCGAATGCAAGGAGTCAGCGGGTTTGCAGATCCAGAATGAATTTCTTTTCCAGGTAAAACAAAATCTGCCAGGAGAGCCAGGTGGGGGAAGCCGGACACAGGGAAAATTACAGAAATCTATGGTACAGCCAGGGAGCGGAGGTCGGGTGTAGTGCACACAAGACTCCTGGCAAATGAAGGGGAAATCCTTCAAAGTTATGAGGTAGGAGGGAGCCCGGGACAAAGAGAGCAATGCTCAGAGGCACAAGTGTAAATAAAGGTATGCTGTCCCCTGGGGATGAAGAAGGGGCTTGGGGGGGGGGGGGGGAGGGAAGAAATATGGAGCCAATCGGAGCAAATGGCCACAGGGTAAGGGTGCTTACCCAGAGGTCACAGGTAAAGGATTTATAGGCTGTGGACAACCAAGGGTTTCAATTTTAGCTCTTCTCTATTACTGCTGTGTGCCCATGACATAGTGGCTCTCCCTCTCTGTGCTGCTATAACCTTGCGCGTACAATGGGTCACAGGTGCTGCTTATACTGGCCCACTTGCCCTGAGGGTCTTCTGCTTCCTACTCAGCACTCTGGCTTCACCGCTCTTCCCTACCTCAGATTTCCTAAGACTTTACAGGGCCCTCTGGATCTCTTTCACGGAACCTGGACAAACCACTGCTCTCCTGTATGGTCAATGGCTGGACATCTGGGTCATAGGCTAGACCTCTGGGTCATGGAATGGAGGACTGGACCATGGATGGAGGTCCAGGCACCCAATACAGGACTGGATTCTGGGTTCGAGTTGAGTTCTGGGCCCTGGAATGAAGGCCTAAGTATCGGATGTAGGTTTGGGTCCTGGGATGGAGTTCTGGACCAGGGATGGATGGCTGTGTCCTGGAGGGAGGGCTGTGTTGTGGGATGGACATCTGGACCCCAGATGGAGGTCTGGGCCATAGGATGGACCTCTGGGTCATGGAATAGAGGTCTGGACCATGGATGCATGGATGGAGGTCTAGGTCCCGATATAGGAATGGATTATGGATTTGAGGTCTGAGCCCCGGAATGGACATCTGGGTCTTGGCATGAATGTTTAGGACCCGGATGTAGTTCAGAGCCCTGGATGGAGGTCTGGACCCAAGTTGGAGGGCTGGGCCCTGGAGGGAGTGCGGGGTGCTGGGATAGAGGTCCAGGCCCCAGATAAAAGTCTGGGACTGGGATGGAAGTCTGGGTCCCTGATACAGAATTGGATTCTGGGTTTGAGGTCTGCACCCCTGGATGTACTTCTGGACCTGGCCTGTAGTTCAGGGACTCGAATGTAGGTCTGAGCTAAGGATGAAGGTCTGGACCCCACAGGTCAGTCTGGGCTTAGGATGGAGTTCTGGGACCCCGATATGGGATTGGATTCTGGGTTCAAAGTCAGGGTCCCAGCATGCAGTTCTCAGCCCTGGCATGAAGGTCTAAGGAGGTCTGGGCCAGGGATGGAAGGCTGTGTCCCGGGGAAAGGGCAGGGTCATGGAATGGACTTCTGGGCCCCGGGTGGAAGTCTGGGTCAGTCACAGGCTGGACCTCTGGTCATGGAATGGAGGTCTTGACTATGGATGGAGGTCTAGGTTTCTGATACAGGACTGGATTCTGGGTTCGAGGTTTGGGTCCCAGGATGGACATCTGGGCCTTGGCATGAATGTCTGGGATCCAGATGTAGGTCAGAGCCCTGGATAGAGGTCTGGGCCTCTTAAATAGGACTAGATTCTGGGTTCGAGGTCTGAGCCCCAGGATGGACTTCTGGGCCCGGCCTGAAGGCCTCGATGTAGGCCTGAGCCCCTGAAGGAGGTATAGGCCCTGAGTTAGGTCTGGGCACCTGATACAGGTCTGGATTCTGGGTTTGGGTCCCCAGAATGGACATCTGGGCCGTGGCATGAAATTCTAGGACCCTGTTGTAAGTCTGGGTCCTGGGATGGAGGCCTATACGCCACAGGGAGGTCTGGGCCTCCTATGGAGGTCAGGGACCCTGATACAGGATTGGATTCTGGGTTCAAGCTCTAGACATCTGGGCATTGGCGTGAATGGCAAGGACCTGGGTGTAGGTTAGAGCCCCGGATGGCGGGCTGAGCCCCTGATATAGGACTGGATTCTGTGGAGGTCTGAGCCCCAGGATGGACTTCTGGGCCTGGCCTGAAGGTCTGGGAGCCAGATGGAGGCCTGAGCCCTTGGTGGAAATCTGGCAACTGGGCTGGGCCCTGGAGGCAGGTCTGGGTGCTGGGATTGAGGTTGGGATCCAGATGAAGGTCTGTGACTTGGATAGAAGTCTGGGCACTTATACAAGATTGGATTCTGGGTTTGAGGTATGGGTCTCTGGATGACTTCTGGGCCCAGCCTGAAGGTCTGGCACCGGATGTAGGTTTGAGCCCAGGATGGAGGTCTGGGTCCCTGATTCAGGGCTTTATTCTGAGTTAGAGGTGTAGGTCCCAGAATGGACATCTGGGTCTTGGCATGAATGTCTGGGACCTGGATGTAGGTCAGAGCCCTGGCTGGAGATCTGGGCACCCAACACAAGATTCGATCCTGGGTTTGAGATCAGGGTCCATGGATGGAGTTCTGGTCCCTGGCATGAAGGCCTAAGCACCAGATGTAGGTCTGGGTCCTGGGATGGAGGACAGGACCCCAAGGGAGGTCTGGGCCTTGAATGGAGGTCTAGGACCTTGATAGAGGATTGAATTCTGGGTTCGAAGTGTTCTTTGGAAATATGTGAGGATACAGATCCTACCAATATTTAACATAGTTATCTCCAACCCCAAGCTTTTAATTTGTGTGCTTGTTTACTTCGCTTAATGTGGTCTTTGCCATCCAGAAATGTTTCATTTTCATACAGTAAGATCTGTCCATTTTTACCTCTTCTTTTAAGTTCATCAGTCTTGTTGGATTAGGGCTCCACCCTTATTGTCTAGTAGGAGAGATCAACAATCAGATATATGAAATACCAAGTGAGCTTCACAAAACTTGGTTTGGTAGTGGAGGTCTGGAAGATGGTTGAGGGCTAGGCCTCCCATATGTCATGTATACAAGCAGCTTACAGCATTGGAAAATAAAGAAGAGGCGGGTTAGGTACAGCTTCACCAATAGTCTAATAATGCAACCCAGTGATGGTCCACACATACATAATCCACATCACCTGCCTCTGAACCACTGGGATAGTTTGTAAGGTGAAATTAAATTTCGGAGGCTCTTTTCTCAGCTGCCCTCCCCTTCCGTCCGGAGGTCAGCCTCCCTTCCCTTCGCCCTGAGCGTGGTCCGGCCTCCCCACACGCGCCCACAGGCCATGAGCATCCTCCCGCGAGGTGAGGTGCAGCCACCCGCCCCATCGCCGGGCAAGGACGCAGATTCCTGCTCCGCAAAGGATCCCGGGAAAACACTTCGGGGGGCCGCGGTACACGCAGAGAGGTTTCTTTGATTGACGCGACACACGCCCAATGAGAGAAGAGGACCAGAAACGCTTCCGCCCCTAAGTGGCAGGACAGTCGCCATTTCAACCAATCGAGCTCAGCAGTGGCTCTCTGGTGGGCGGTCCTCGAGGCCGCTGAGATTGTGGGTGTCCGTTGAGCGGCTGGTGGGAGCCGTGCCCCCTTGAGTAGGGGGTTACAGTCGTTCTTGAGAGGAACGTGTCTGTCCGAAGAGAAAATGAGTTTAGCTCTGAGGTCGGTAACGAGGCGGCGGCGATGCTCTCCACACCCCGGCTGCGGGCCCCAGGGCGGGTGGCAGGGAGGGAGGGAGGCAGTTGGGGGCCAAGGCGAGGAAGGGATGCAGTTGGGGTCCCGGAAAAGAAACCGCGGCCCACCCTCCGGGCCGGACCGCTCTCCGCGGGGCTCCTGGGGGCCGCAGTGCCGAGGCCCGTGCACTTCCGCGGAGCTAGTCATAACCTGTCCTCGCGTGGGCTTTTGAACCGCTGGAAGGATGGGCCGTACTCTGTGCACGGAGGCTGTGAAGTCGCGCGAGGTTTCTTCCGCGGGAACTCGGGCCGCGGAGCATCCCTGGGATCCAGTGCCTCCTCCCGGCTTCCGGCCCCCAGCGAGGCGGCGCTGGGCATGACGTCGCTACTGTGAATTTTGGGAAGAACCCCCACCTCTCCCCGCCGGTCACCCGGGGTCCTGCCGCAGCGGGTACCAGGAGACCCGCGTGACCCACATTGCCCGAGTTTCTGCACCCCACATGGGGCTGGGCCTCTAATCCTCTGTTGCCCGCTTCCCCAGCCTCATCGAGATAGGCTAATTAAAAAATAACTGTCTAGTTCACGCCACCTTCGAAAAGGTGCTGTGTTCTGCTGGTCCACGGATAATTGTGGATCCCTTGGGTGGGGTCAGCTTAGTTGCTTCTGGACTTGGCCATTGGGAACCGGGGGAAGAGAATGACTGACCATCTGGCCAATTTGTAGCCGTCTCTCACTGCTTCCCTCTAACCCCCACTCCCACCCTTCCCTCACCCCCGTCTTTGTTAAGGGTAGGTTTTTAGAGAGCAAGACTTCAGAAGCAAATAGCGTATTCTTGTAAAATCAACTGGGTTTTACATTTCAAGGCTTTATGAAGTGTTCTGTTTCAGCATGTATACAAGTGTTGGAAGTCCCATTTGAAAATTGGGAACACTTGCATCAGCATCTCTTAAGACATTTCTAGCCTTTAAAATAAATTTCCTTAAAAAAAACAAACGTTTTTCCAGAGTTTGTGATAAATTAAATCTAAATTTAAATGTTGAGATAAGACCATTGACTTCACATTATGTAGAATTGGCACAAATAGGTACTTTTTAGGCGAATGATAATTGTGATCTGTTTGGACTCAGTATTTTGGCTGATATGTTCATAGCGACCAAAGAAATGATGAAGTGCCAAACTGTTGAAAATATGTCATCTAAAAACATTTCTAATGTACAATACAAAGTACTTTGTAAGTTAATTGAAAAAATTACGTTTTTTTGGGGTAGTAATTTTGATAACTCATTTATAAAACACTCAAGTGAATCAGATATATAGTGAGTTAATTACGAATTTAATTTTATTTTAAAATACTTTATATTGTAGATTGATGTGAATAATAAGGATGGATGCTTTGCTTTTTTGTTGGGGTTTCTGACATGAAGTAATGTTTCTTAATCACAGTTCTTGCTTCCACAGTAATATTAGTGGAATAAATACAAAGATAGGTCCTTGTTGCTTTTTTTTTTTTTTAACAACCTGTAACATTTCTGTTTTGGGAAGTGCAAATTTATAGCAGCTTCAACTTTGTAATAGAGAGGGCTTTTACTCATATAAGGAATTTTTTTTTCTCAAAATATATCCTTTTAAGAAATTTAAAAAGTTACTCGCTGGCTAAGGTTTATGGTTGCATTTTTGAAATCTTATTTTAATCATCTAGAGACATAGGAGAATAAGAATTAAATGGACTAAATAGACTGTTTTTATTTTATAGAAGTGAACTTGTAGACAAAACAAAGAGAAAAAAAAGAAGAGAACTTTCTGAAGAACAGAAACAAGAAATTAAAGATGCTTTTGAACTATTTGACACAGACAAAGATGAAGCAATAGATTATCATGAATTAAAGGTAATGACAGACTTTAAAACATAGTATATTTTTTCTGTTAAAATGATTTGCATTTTTGACAGTTGGCTAAAAATACATTTTTAAATACGTATTTTAACTAAACTGGTTTTAGAAATAGGAAACCATTTTAAACACTTTCACAGTTAAGTGCTACAATAAAATTGAATTGTATTAACATCTTTTTAGAAGCTCCTTTTCACATGGTAAATGAATAGTATTTTAAATGTAAAAATACATCCCTATTGAGGGGCTTATTTTTCATTACATGATTAAAATATTTCAAACTACAGGATTTAAACAGTTCTTACTATATTTTTTGGCCACTCATCCTTTTTTCAATTGAGGGAATGTTGTTTGTCTTTTTTATTTGAATATGTTCATAAACACAGTCAACTTATTTTCTCTGGTGCAAACAACATAATTGATGTGTGATACTGACACACTATTAATGGGGGGAAATGCCAATTTAAGGCCTGGAATTATTTATAAAGATACAAGGGGAGATTGGTGTTTAAGGTAGTATGGATCTGGCACTCAACACAATGAGAAAAGTGGCTTTTTTGCAACTCTTTGGCCCTTTTTACCAATTTATTTCTTGTTGCTGTTGTCGTAGTTACCTAGCTTTTATCTGTTTTTCCTTTATAATGTCTCTTTCATTTGTTGCTATTGTTATTATCTTGGTTTGAAAATCTTATTTCATATCTGGAATTTTCTAAGTGGTTTCTTCATTTTTAGTTTACCTTCTACATTCATCTTTCTCAAATTCTTTTCCTATATTGTTCAATGCTTATAAACCTTTGGTGGCTCCTTATCATATACTGCATAAAGTTCAGATTCCTTTGATTTTTATTGAATGTTCTCCACTCTTTTCCTACCATCCATGTTTCTCATTTGCTAACTCCCTTTTCCACCTGAGGGCTACCATTTAGATAAAATAAACTGCTCTGTTCACTGTTCTTTTTTTTCTTTATATATTTTATTGATTTTTTACAGAGAGGAAAGGAGAGGGATAGAGAGCTAGAAACATCGATGAGAGAGAAACACCAACCAGCTGCCTCCTGCACACCCTCTACTGGGGATGTGCCTGCAACCAATGTACATGCCCTTGACCTGAATCGAACCTGGGACCTCTCAGTCCTCAGGCTGATGCTCTATCCACTGAGCCAAAGCGGTTTCGACTGTTCACTCTTCTTAACCTTATTCTTTATTTTGGTGTCTTAATATCAGTAATCATTTTCTAAATATCTTTCTGTTCTACTTAATCCATATATCAAGGAACAACCTGAATCCCTCCCAAGTTTTAACTAGTTACATGTCTCTCCTTCCTTCAATTATATATATAAAAGCCTTAGCAACTGGCCAATCGGCTGACCATCCGGTAGCTATGACGTACACTGAACACCAGGGGGCAGACGCACAACGCAGGAGCGGAAACCACAGGATTGGAAACATGGATCAGACTGATGAATCTCAGAGAGGAGGGGAAGGGAGGAGGGCAGGAAGAGATTAACCAAAAGTCTTATATGCATACTTTGTGCAACTATGGGGTCCCTTGGCCTGGCTGATGGGGCCAAAACCAGCTCTCCGACATCCCCAAAGGGGTTCTGGATTGTGAGAGGGTGCAGGTCAGGCCAAGGGACCCCATCATTCCATGAATCTGTGCACCAGGCCTCTATCTATCTATCTATCTATCTATCTATCTATCTATCTATCTATCTATCTATCTATCATCTATCTATCTATCTATCTATCTATCTATATAAAACCAGTGAACATAACACTATAATGACTGGAATGACAGGTTGCTGTGATGCCAACTGCAGCCAGTGAACTGGCCTGCTATAGGGGTGGGGCCGGCTGGCCAACCTCCCACCTCCCCTTCCTGCCTCTGGTGCTGCCCTAAATGAGTTCCCACCACACCGATTGGTCCTCAGCTCCTCTCCCTGACTGGCTCCACCCCTGATCAGCCTCTCCCACCCCATCTAGGGTGGGTCAGCTGGCCAACCTCCCATAGCCCCTTCCCCGGCCTCTGATCCCCAATCAGCCTCCCCCCCACTCCATTCAGGGGTGGGGCCAGCTGGCCCACACCCATTCCCACAGCTGCGCCTGCCCCCAATGGGCCCCTCCACCCCAATTGGGGGTGGGGCCCGCCGGCCAATCGCCTGTGGCTCCTCCCACCAGCCGGCTCAGCCCTGATTGGGGCCTGATCAGAGTGGGCCGGCTGGCCAGCCTCCCGCTGTTTCCTCCTCCTGACAGGCCTGGCCCTGATCTGCCGATTGGGGCCCGGCCAGCGGATCCCACCAGTGCAACAATTCATGCACTGGGCCTCTAGTATAGTAATAAGATCTTTCCCTGAACTTGGGGTCATGCATCTGGTAACTAATCATGTAGGGTCTGATGATAATTCTTATTTCATTGTGTTCTAATCTCTAGTAATGTATAAGTTTTTGTTTTTAGTGTGTATCTTTGTAATATTTATGCTATACCCTTTTTTCATTTTGGTTGTTAATCCTTTGAGAACAAAGAACTTGTTATATCTTTGCACTATGTCAGTACATTGTATAGTACATTCCATAAACACTCATTGATTGGTTTGTCATACAAAAAAAAATATAAAGTTAACAAATTGCCATTTAATTTCATAGTGAAGAAAAACTATCTCTTTACTATTTTAGAGTCATAAAACATGCAAAAGAATTATATGTTTTATTATTGGGTCATCATTCCTTAAGTTGCAAAAGTTTATTTAAGAAATCACTTTTTATTCTTTTTGAAGGAATACTTTATAATTTGCTTTTCCCTTTTAATCCAAAAGGTGGCAATGAGAGCCTTGGGGTTTGATGTAAAAAAAGCTGATGTTCTGAAGATTCTTAAAGATTATGACAGAGAAGCCACAGGGAAAATCACCTTTGAAGATTTTAACGAAGTTGGTGTGTATTTTAATAGTCTTTGTAATTAGCAGTTGTTAGGAAATTATCTGGTTAATATTAGCATTTTTTAATTCTCAGAGTTATAGAATTTTATTAATGAACATTGCTGTATATGTGAATCTTACAGGGTTTTTGGGGGTACTCTTTATGTTGATTTTCAAAGAAAAGAGATTTATAGCTTTGCTGTGCGATTTATCATTTTGTCTTTTGTTCTGGAGATTCTAACCTAGGTTTTATCATATGTTGTTATTTTATGGAAAAATGTCTTTCTAAGTAATGTGAGTTTATGACAAAACTAAAAGGGTGATCAAAAAATCTCTCACAGTAAAATAGAAAATTTGGTATCATTTTGTTTGGAAAAGATTTTCCAAGACCATTTAGTATGTGGTTTTTGTTGGCAATGTGGGAGAAAAGGAAACCTTTAGCAGCTGTTATCTTTGTAGAAAAGGTGCATGCCTTCAAGTTGACAAAGCCATCTATGAGGGGTCGCATATTCTTGATGACTTTGATCTTGGTGAATAAGGTCATCCGTTTAAAGTTGCCAGTGGGGAGAGGATTGTAATAAGGGAAACTGGAAGCAGGAGAAAACATTTTAGAACAACCAACTGAAGATAATGTGTCATGGACTTAATATGGTTAAACTTTTGTATAGATGATTTTAAAGAATTATTTATAGTATATACATATATACAGAGAGCTATATATATACACACACATGTACATATATATACACACATACATATGTGTGTGTGTGTATATACACATATATACACATATATATCACCACTTCACATTTTATATATATATATATATATATATATATATATATATATATATATACACACACACACACACACACACACACACACACACAGAGGAGTCTTTTATTCTAATATATATATATTTTTTTATTACATCTTTTTTTTAAACATGATTTTTCTTTCTTTTTATTTTCTATATATTTTATTGATTTTGTACAGAGAGGAAGGGAGAGAGATAGTTAGAAACATTGATGAGAGGTCATCATTCAGCTGCCTCTTGCACACCTCCTATTGGGGATATGCCCACAACCAAGGTACATGCCCTTGACCAGAATCGAACCCGGGACCCTTCAATCCCCAAGCCGACGCTCTATCCATTGAGCCAAACCGGTTTCGGCATATATTTTTTTTTATTACATCTTATATTGCCTAGAGTTTTATACATAGAATGCATAGAAATTTACATTTATTTTCATTGAATTAATTTTCTACACTAATTGGTATTGCTTTATATAGGTCATAACATAAGCATATCCTATAGGTTTTTTTTTTTTAATTTAGAACAAATTTACTTAAGATCTCAATCAAATCCTTTATTTTATTTAGCAAGAAGCAGTATAAGAATCAAAAAGAAATGACAATTAGTACATATGGAAAAATAGATTCATAGATTCATATCATTATATAACTTTTATTCTGAAAATTCAAACCAAAAGTGAAGAAGAGAGAAGTTAAAGGATAAACCAGAAAGAGAGAGAAAGCACAGCACAAAAGGTCCTCAACTTACGAACCGACAGATGACTGTTTAGAGAAGCATTTTGTTCCTTTGGGGAGCATATTTTTTTTTTATTCCTCTCTAAATTGTAGAATTATTTACTTGAGAAGAAGGAGAAAACTTTCTGTTCTCCCAATATTGAAGCTCTCCTGGAGTTTATGATTTTAGCCTAAGATGATTTATTTATAGAAATAAGGCTTAGGATATAGTGGAAAAAATATTAGGAAAGATCTATAATTCAGGTACATTTGGTATATTGTTGTAGTTTAGCATGGACAATCTGCAAGCAGATTGCCTGCCTTCAGGGCTTAGTTTTGCCACTTACTAGCTGTGTTACTTGGGCATTCTACTTCTCTCTGTCTCATTTTCAGCTGTACAGTGGGGATACTTGTGTTACCTCCCCAGGTTATTATGAAGAATAAGTGAGTAAATAATATGTAAGGTCTTTAGGAAAGGGTTTAGCATATAGTAAGTGCCATTAAGTATTTGTTGTCATTATAATTTAAAAAATAGTTTTTTATTGTTATAAAGACTGAAAATAATCATTGCATCACTGGAACATAAGTCTTTTACAGCATATATTTATACTTTTGTGATGATCTTTTTTATATTTATAGCTATTTTAAGTAATGTATTATTATCATTCATAATTTTATTAAATACATTATTTCATCTAAAGTGAATATAATGAATATAATTTTTAAATTGTGATTTTATTAGCCACTGAAGCAAAAGTCCCATGCCATCTCCACTTTTTCCTGACCCTCCATCTTTTCTGTGTTACTAGTAGAGCAGAAATACTGGATTCTTTCCAGAATAAAAAACTATGGCTAAGCATATATGTTAGCTATCCTCAGGCTACCTATTGAGAATACCAGCTGTCAAATAAACACTTATTATTGTTTGAGTCATTCAGGCAAGAACTATGTATTCTCCCTATTTGTTCGTTATTTTTGTTTTTGTTAATCCTCACAAATCAGTTGATTTTTAGAGAGAGTGGAAGGAAGGGTGAAAGACTCAGAGAAACACATCGATTGGTAGCCTCCCACATGAATCTCGGCCCGTGCTGGGGATCAAACCTGCAACTAAGGTATGTGCCCTTGACCGGAATCCAGTCGGGGACCCTTCAGTCCGCAGGCTGATTTTCTATCCATTGAGCCAAAATAGCTAGGGCTGTTTTTTATTTTTGAAGAATGACTGACTTCAGATGAATATATGTTTTATACTTTGGGACAAATAACTCCAAATCAGAAATTTTAGTCTTAGTTTTATGTACACCTATTAGCTGTCTGAGGATATTGATTTACAATATTTCTGTATGAAGTTAACTGGATTCTTCCCAATGCTAGGAAAAAATATTAAAATGTATTTGATAAGTTTAGAATATGGACAGCCTGAGACTAGTAACAGGTGTCGTAGGAATTGCTGCTTTAAAGTAAGACCAAGATTGTGCCACGCCGGCATGGCCAAGAGTGAACTTGAATGGGGGTAGCTGAAAGGTTAGAAAAGACAGACAAGAGAATGGAAGCAGGGTCTCGGTGGGATGCTGCTTCCCTGATGGGGAGACAGCGCCACGGACTACAAGCCGTGTGTTTATGTTATAGTCAGATTCCATGAGGCAAAGTAAGGGTGTGGTCAAGATGTTTACAGCATTCTCATGAGTTTTGATCCTACTCCATTACATGTACTTGATCAAGCTTTGTTTACGTATAGCCTGTGTCACTTAGGCACGAGGGGCCATGTGTTTGGACCATAGGTTCAAACTTACAACTACAACTGTTGGCTATACTTGTGCTGAGAAGGCTCTGCCCTCCAAGCTGGGACTTGCACGTGGCCATGAGAGGACTGTGCCCTCTCGTCAGTCCAAGACTTGAACCTGTCCAAACACTGTAGCCGTGTCCTACACAAGATAAGTCAGATGTTTGTGCTCCATCTGTTTTTTGGCACATACTACTTATTATTTCATTGGCTATCTATAATAGAATATTGTTTTTGTTTAGCTTATTTAATAAAAATTTGCTGTTTTTTGTTTTTGGCATTCAGTACTGTGGGGGGGTGAGGGAGGGAATTGAAAGTTATTAAGAGGTTATTCTTTCAAGGAGCTTATAATTTAAATGTAGGTGACCAGAAACTATGTGGTAAATTTTGTCTAAGGCAGGAATTGCCAAACTACAGCCTTTGGGCCAAATTCAGCTGCTGCCTGAATACTGCCACATCTATGTTTTATGCTTTTGTGCCATCATGGCAGAGTGAAGAGTTTAGACAAATCTTATACTTCCTCCTCACCCCCAACCCCTAATATTTACTGCCTGGCCTTTAACAGGAAAGATTTGTCAATTTCTGATCAGAGCAGTTAAAGATTTTGCAGAGGGAATTTTTAATTTAGGCTGCTGGGAATGTGAAAAAGGATATCCTAAGGAGACGATTGACGAAGGAGTAGAGAAAGTCATTCAGGCAGACAAAGAGTGGCCCCAGAAATATAGCATGTTTGGGAAACTTTAGGTACTTCCCTGCTCTAGAGGATAGGGAAATGGCTAAAAATGTAAGATTGGGCCAGATAGGTAAACATGTAGAGTTTGGATTTTAGTCAGCAGAAGCCCATTGTCAATTTTTAAATAAGAGTAGATATGTTTCAGAAAGATAACTCTGTTTAGAGTATTAAAGATGGCTTGGAGGAAACAGATTGCAGGCAGAAAATAATATACGTTTTATGTTGAAAGTGGTGAGAATGAAAAGGGATACATTTAAAAATAAAAAAGTAGCATCCTCAGAACTATAGGATCTGATCACTGATTGGGTTTATGGGATTGAAAATGTTCAGTGTTTTTTAAATATGGGAAACTATTAACAGTGCTCTCATTCTTTTGGGAGTGGGCATTGACAGCTATCTTGATGATAATGGAAGAGTTTGGACTCCAAAAAGTTGAGTTTATAGTAACTGGTATTTTTGGATAGAGCCTTCCAAAAGTCAGTGAGATATATAGTTGAAGCTATATTTCCAGTATTACCTTTAATAATTTTGATAAGCTTTAATGTCTTTTAATTGTTGTATTCATAAGTGATTTTTATAAAGTGTAAGGTCTAAATATTTTGAGGAAGTACATTTCTAATAGTATCTATATATATATAAACAGGTAATATGCAAATTAGCCTGGTATCACAACCAACTTGAGGAGGCTGCATCACTGCCGCTCAGGAGGCACTGTTTGTGCAGATGAGTGGGAGGGGATGCATGCTGCCCCACCCAGCAGACAGACACCCACACACACCTAGGGGTGGGGTGTGCTCTGAGCTGCAATACACACATAGGGGTGGGGGCTTGGTCTGATGGGCGTGGCTTGGAGCACATCCCTGGTGGGTGGCAGCAGTGGCCAGAGTGAAGAAACTGGATCCCATATACCTGGCAGCAGCCAGAGCAAAGCAGCCCAGGTCCTGGGTACCGGTGGGAAACCAGTGCTGGCAGCCAGGGGAAGGAAGGTCTATTCTTGCACGAATCTTTGTGCATCGGGGCTCTTGTAATTAATTTGAAAAAAGAGTTACCTGGACAGAAATTTGTGAAATAGATTGAACCCACCTTAACTGCCTGCCTGTCAGTTGACTTATTTTCATTGAAAGACAATATCTTTCTTATAATTAAATTCTACTTTGTAGGACAGAAATAGAACACGAAGGCATGGAGGAGAGTTACCATAAAGTTTACTGTTTTAGCTGTTCAGAATGATGGATATTTATAGTTCCCAAGAAAAGTTGCATTCTAAGGCAATGTATTGATAAAAGATTATATATACACGTACGTCTGAAGTAACCAACACAATTAAAGCACCAGTGGGATAAGAATTTATATATTTTGGAGCCCCATCTGTTCCCCAGATCACCCTGTTGCTGCTTTAAGTACATTAATACTTTCGGCAAGCTGCTTTTTTGGTTCACCTGTCATGTAAAATTATTTAATTGGTGAAGAAAATTTCTTAACACTTTTTTTTTTTCCTTGTCCTGCTTTTTTGTTGGGACTAAATTCAAAATAAGTTGAGTATGAGCCATAGAGTTAAGAGTGGTATTTTATTTTGGTGTTACGGCTGTATATATGCCAACTCCTTTTGACTGAATATTTATGAGCTTTGATGATTTGCATAGTTATAATAATATACTTCAATTAGTTACTTGGAAGACTGTGGATAAAATTAATGGCTAGAAGAAAAAGAAAACTACCGAATATATGTGTAGAAGATTTAATATCTTGAATGCTAATATGATGAAATAGTAGCAAAACAATAATAAAATATTGGGGACTTAAATTTTATTTTTCCTTTTGGGTGCATTAAACATTCTTATACTTTACATCTATAAGCATTTGCAAGTTTTTAATGCTTTCATAAACTTCAGTAGGATTTATTTATAAATGTTTTTAATGATTTTTAGAGAGAGGAAGGGAGAGGGATAGATAGATAGAAACATAATGAGAGAGAGGAGTGTCATCGATTGGCTGCCTTCTGCACGCATCCCATAGAGGATTGAGCCCACAAACTGGGCATGTGCCCTGACCAGGAATTGAACTGATGATATCTTGGTTCCTGGTCAACACTCAATTGCTGAGCCATACAAGCTGGGCAGGATTGATTTATTTTTAATTGGCACAACGAGAGTCATAAATACCTTTTGTTGTAGTGATAGACTAGTTTGCAGAATTACTTTGGAGATGTTTACTTAGATATTTTTAGATTTTTACCTATATGCTACAGCTTCTTTATTGTGGCTATTAAGACTGGTAATACTGAAAATGTTGAGTAAACTATATTATTATATATTATTACATTTAGTATATTAAAATACATTTATACTTTCAGCTATCAAGGTATGAAATTATTCCTTTAATTTTACTTACTTGTCTGAAGTTATTATTTTGCTAAACAAAATGCATAAGTTATCTTTTCCAGACCTTTTTACTTTTTTCCTGGCTTTGTTATTGTAATCAGATTTAATTCTTTTAGTAACTACTTCTCATATTTTGGAAAAATAGAGACATTTTTGTTATCATGAAGGTATCTGAGATTTTCTATTTTATTTTTATTTTTAATGATAAAAATATATTGATTTTTTTACAGAGAGGAAGGGAGAGGGATAGAGAGTTAGAAACATCGATGAGAGAGAAACATCGACCAGCTGCCTCCCGCACACCCCCTACCGGGGATGTGCCCGCAACCAATGTACATGCCCTTGACCGGAATTGAACCTGGGACCCCTCAGTCTGCAGACCGATGCTCTAACCACTGAGCAAAACCGGTTTCGACACTGTGGATTTTCATTTGCTGTCTGAAATTGTGTCTATATCAATGATGGCAGTGTATTTTATTAATTTTTCAGTTTTTATGTTTTTAAGTTAAATTAAATTTGAGGAGCAATTTGTGTTCCTATTAAGTTTAGCCTGCAAACCTCTTTTATCTAGTTAGGTTTTTAAAAATATGTTTCTATTGAATTCAGAGAGAGGAAGGGAGAGGGAGAGAGAAACGTCAATGATGAGAATCACCCATCAGCTGCCTCCTGCACTCCCCCTACTGGAGATTGAGTCACAACCTGGACATGTACCCTGACTGGAAATCGAACTGTGACCTCCTGGTTCATGGATCTAAGCTCAACCATTGAGCCACACCGGCTGGGCTATCTAGTTAGTTTGAATTGTTTGTTGGTATAACATCTCTCCAACTAGGTTACTAACTCCTAGACTAATGTGCTTGATGTCAGTGGAGCCTACAACAGTTCTTGATAATAGTAAACCTTAGATAAATATGGTATAAATATAATACTTTTTATTTTGCATCTGTACAATGTAAATAATTTTGCTTACTTTTTTATAATAGGATGAATTATTGATATTATAAAGCTTACATTGAAAAATATGGATTTAATTTTTCTAATTTCATGTTTATCTGGCTTTTTGGGCTCTGATATAGCATTTTATTTTCAAGCTACTAGTAAATGTTGACAGATTTGTTTTTCATTTGGTACTTAGTTGATATCACAAATGAATGCCTTTGTGATTATAAAAGTTTATTTTTTTTTCTTAACTCTAGTTACAGACTGGATATTGGAAAGAGATCCACATGAAGAAATATTGAAAGCATTTAAACTATTTGATGATGATGATTCAGGTAAAATAAGCTTGAGGAATTTGCGACGTGTTGCCAGAGAATTGGGTGAAAACATGAGTGATGAAGAACTTCGGGCTATGATAGAAGAATTTGATAAAGATGGTGATGGAGAAAGTAAGTTTGAATAAAACATAGTCCAGGTAGTCTTGATATATACAATCTAGTAAGTTTTTCTAAAACCAAATGATTTTCAAGACTCTTTGCAAACTATTGTAATTTTTGTTCATCCTGTAATGGGCTTGTCTATATAAATACTTTACTATTCCAATTTAGAATGAAGCATAACTTTATTTTTATTTTTTTATTTTAAATATGTTTTATTGATTTTGTACAGAGAGGAAGGGAGATAGAGTTAGAAACATCGATCAGAGAGAGTCATCGATCAGCTGCCTCCTGCACACCCCCCACTGGGGATGTGCCCACAACCAATGTACATGCCCTTGACCGGAATTGAACCCGGGACCCTTCAGTCCCCAAGCCGACGCTTTATCCATTGAGCCAAACCGGTCTTGGCATAGAATGAAGCGTAACTTTAAAACCAACTAGATAGATTGTAATATGATGTTTCATACTTAAGAAATGTATTTTCTTTGTGGATGAAATATCAAAATTTCAGTCACTTAGTAAAATTTCAGCCTTTAATGCCTTCTTCCTCAACCTTCATACACTTCTAAATTTTACTGTTCTATTCTGTCCTTCAAATATTTTGGCTGTTTTATATCTTTGCTTACTGCTGGTGTCCTAGTTCAGCCCTTATTTTTTTTTTAGGAATGTTATAGCTTGTTATTTTCTTGGATGCCTGCTGGTTACAGTGTTGTATGTGCTGATTGGTGCTACAATAAAAATGGCAGATGATAGTCTCTGCCCTCACTGACTTCGTTGATTATTGTAGCCTCCTAATTGCCCTACATGCCTATAAGCCTCTTCTCTCTTCTTAATTCAATCTATTGATACCATTGTTTTTCTAAATTACAGGTTTGATAATGTAATTTCCTTGTTCATACACTTAGAGTTATTCCTCTGTGTCTACAGTGTAAAGTTCAAAGCCTTCTATGATCTGTCTTACCTTAAGTATCTAGTTTTATTTCCCATTGTAGTTTTGTACTTTTCTACTTTAACCAGTTAACTGCCATGGTATTTTGAATTTAATTAAAAAAGGTTTGATGCTTGTGTCTATAGACACTTATGGCGTACAAATATGGTTAACCCTCACCTCCCATACATACACTTTGACAAAATACATTCTATCTTGAAAATACTTTTTATGCTGTGCCTTTTTATCATGCCATTCCTTAATCCTAGAATATTCTAATTGCTAATTTCTGTCTGCTAAAATGTTAGTTGTTTTCTCAGGAACATTTTAAACTTTATTTTTTTCTCAAAACCCTCTTCCAGTGGGCTCTGAATAAGTTAATGATACTCTCATTGGGGGCCCTTAGCATTTGCAGTGGTTCTCAACCTTTCTAATGCTGCGACCCTTTAATACAGTTCCTCATGTTGTGGTGACCTCAACCATAATATTATTTTTGTTGCTACTTCATAACTGAAATTTTGATACTGTTATGAATCATAATGTAAATATCTGTGTTTTCTGATGGTCTTAGGCGGCCCTGCTGTAGAGGTTTTGGAATCATACAGACCTGTATTTGAATCGAATCTCTGCCCTTAGTTGCTTTGTAATTTTGTGCAAGTTTTCAACATTGTCTGAATCTCAGTTTTCCCATTTATACTTGTAGACATGAGAATGGTAATACCTTATAGAATTGATGTGAATATTAAATGAAGATAGTTGATGGTGTCTAGCATTAAGTGCAAGCTTGTTTTCCTTTCTTTTTTGCCTTTACTCATCTTTATGTTCTCTTGAACATAATGAGTGCTCTTATACTTGTTGACTTAAAGCCCTGAGCTGGAGTGTGTGTTACAGTAGATACATGTTGATATAGTACCTAGTATATATACATACATGAATATATATATTTATGTATGTATATATATTGGGTAATTACACACACACACACACACACACACACACTGGGTAATTATATACACACACACACACACACACACACACATATAGCTATATATATATATAATTACCTTGGTAATACTGGCATGCTTTAATAAGGAGGTGAGACAGTAGCAACTAGCTTATTAGTTCAGATGTAAAGATTGTTTTTAAATGTATACATTATTGTGCTTTCTCATATTTATGGAAATATTATTTAAGTATTATAAAACTTATATTTTTAAATAATAGATTTTTTAAGGATATTGATATAGTTACTTATATTTTGAAGCAAAGATGTTTAAAACTGAAGGAAATTTAAATGATTTCTTAAGCTCTCACTTTAATATTTGGACTTAAAATTTATTACCTAAATTAACTTTAAAGGAACTCTGTTCTGTAAAGGTACTATCTTCAGTGACACAGAGATTCTTGGTATGTCTATTTCATAAATCTTTAATAATATGTCAAAAGATCAGTTATTATATTCTTTTTCACTGGAGTAGGCCCATGCAATCAGATTTCAGTTATTAGCTTCATTTGATATTAGGATAAAATATCAATTAGGAAGCTCCCTCTTAAATTGAAACTTGATGTGAAAATTTGCTTTAGAAAATGTGTCCATTTCCTCATTCCTTATTATATTGCTCTGGCTGCTGCTTTTGAATCTCCCAGTTCACATCTGTGCTTCATTGGTTGAAGATTTATTTTAGTGCATCCTAAAAACATTTCTTCAGTCCTCTCTGCTTGTTTTTCTCCACTTTGTTACTATACATGTGTTGCTTGGGTATCCTACTATCATTTATTCAAATGACTTAATAGGCAAATAACATTTTCCCCAAGAATTTGATTACAAATAAAATACAGCTGATGCATAGTCTTTTAATAAGATTTGCTTTGTTTCTGGGGGGAAAGCATGGTTTTATATTAAAATAGTCTAATCCAATAGTTTCCAATCTGGGATGTGGTTGGGTCTCACTTGGGGGGGGCGATGTCTTCCTAGGTATTTATGGGGTCTGGGAATTCACATATACATCATTGTCTGTAGATCATACAAATAATTGTATTCCATGTGCATGCATATATTGCTGTTTTCCATATTTGTAAATACTATTGTGAACGATAAATATACTTTGCAGAATTCATAGTAGCTATTTGACATTATTTTTCAAACAACACTAAGTATACAGGTTGAAAAAGTTGGTTTCCAGTTGTTTGTAAGAAAAATAACACAACAATTAATAAATAATAATACGTGAATAAACTCTGGCCCTAGCTGGTTTGGCTCAGTGGATAGAGCATCAGCCTGTATACTGAAGGGTCCCAGGTTTGATTCTGGTCAAGGGCACATGCCTGGGTTGCAGGCTCGATCCCTAGCTGGTTACATTCAGGAGGCAGCTGATAAATGATTCTCTTTCATCATTGACTAGAGGCCCGGTGCATGAAATTTGTGCACAGGGGTTTGGGGAGATCATCCTCTTGCAGTCTGGGACCCTTTGCTCCTTACCGTCCACCTGCTCACTGCTCTTTACCACTCAGCTCGCTGCCTGTACAAAGGCATTACGGATTCTCTTAATGGTCTGAATGGTTTACTGGTAATAAAGGAGGTGGTTTAATTTCCTTAACTACTTCCCATCAGTTTTCTACTTTTGTTTTTAAGGTATTCTGTTTTGAGGTATGAAATTATGGAGTAGTTTAAAATACTTTTGAAATGCTCTAATATTTTCAGGTGTTTATTTTTGCATGACTTTCTATCTTCAACTATGTTTTTTTTTAACATTTAAAAAAGAATATATATTTTATTGATTTTACACAGAGAGGAAGAGAGAGGGATAGAGCGTTAGAAACATCGATGATAGAGAGTCATCGATCAGCTGCCTCTTGCACACCCCCACTGGGAATGTGCCCACAACCAAGGTACACGCCTTTAACCAGAATCGAACCCGGGACCTTTCAATCCACAGGCCGACGCTCTATCCACTGAGCCAAACCGGTTTTGGCTTCAACTATGTTTCTGATGGTGTGCTACTACCTTAGCTTTTTTCCCCTGTCAAACCAAATCCTATAATTTTATTTTGGAGCCTAACATTTATTTTTACCCACATTTTTCTCATCAGTAATGATTTTTCCCATTATAATGTTTTTTTTTCAACACTGATAATGTAGTTTTATTTTAATAATCATGCTTTGTATTATATAGCATTTATTCTCTGTTTCAGGTATAAAATGTGACCAACATGATTATTCTCATTGGTTTACTAGTGTATGTGGCTTTGATACCAGTATACTTTTTTATTCCTGATGTACATGTCTTATCTGCTCAACTTTTTTCATTGGTTAATTTTCCAATTATTCTTACACAGAGGAAAAAATATTAGACTAGTACAGTGAACACCTTTATGACTTCTACCTAGATTCAGTAATTAACGATACATTGTATTGCTTTATATAGTGTGTACATATATATTTTTCTGTATCATTTGAAAGTATATCAAACTCGACCCTCTCTAATATTTTAGCATGCCTCTACTACTAATGATATTATCTTTCCTAACTGTGATATCATTGTTATTTCTAAGAAAATTAACAATTTTATATCGCTTAATATCTTCCTTAATTAAAATGTAAGATATTCAATAATAGGAACCCTAGTGTTTAATTTGATATAGTATATAACTTTTAGTATGGTGTTGGCATTCACTAGGCACTTTAAAATGTTTAATTATATGGTGTATTTTCATATATTACCATCTATGGTATTTAAGATTTAGAAAAAGCCTAAAAGATTATCTATATAGAACAGTATTTTCAGATGTAGAACAGTTCTGTGTCAGAGCTATATTCTTGTTATCATTATCAAAATTATCATTTCTAACGTATGCCTTGTTAAGGTATATGTTAAGTCTTGGGACCCGTAAACTTAACCTATTTTACAAAGTGAAAGTAATCTTTTCTGAAATTTCTATTAATATTTATGTGTATGTATGTATTTTTGTTTTTTAAAATTTATATTTAATAAGATCACATTAATATTACCTTTTATCGCCTATTATTTCTAGGTTTGTTTTTTTATGCATTATGCTTTATAAACTGGAGGTTCTTATTGGATTTTATTTATAATTTTGATAAGCTAACAATCTTTATCAGTGATCATTTCCTGAAATTACATCTATATTTTATAGTATTACCTTTGTAGTTAAGATTAAATCTGTATATTTTAACATTATAATTTTCTCTAGATATTTTTAAAAATATATTTTATTGATTTTTTTACAGAGAAGAACGAAGAGGGATAGAAAGTTAGAAACATCGATGAGAGAGAAACATCAGTCAGCTGCCTCCTGCACACCCCCTACTGGGGATGTGTCCGCAACCAAGGTATATGCCCTTGACCGGAATCAAATCTGGGACCTTTTGGTCCACAGGCTGACGCTCTATCCACTGAGCCAAACCGGTTTCGGCTCTTTGGATATTTTTGATGTATGGAGACCTGCTTTCAATTAGTTTTTCTTTGAAATGGGCTTTCAAATATATCAAAATTTAAAAAAACAACAAACAAACACAATACCATAAATCAATTTAGTGTTTTTCTATTGCTTATATATTATCTTTTACAATTCTAACTTATATGTTTGATATATTTAACTTATTTTTGAAGGAAAGGTTTGCTAAGTGAACTAGTAGAATAAAGATTATAGGGTTTAACCATCTAAAAATTAAAAATTTCAAGCTTTTAAAACTCCATGTATATTTAATATTATGACTTTTTTGTAACATATAATATTACCTTTTCTATCACATTTTATATGTTGTGCATTCATGACATTCTGTTTAATAAACATGTTCAACTTTTTAGCAAAGAATTAAAATACTGTCTTGGTTTATTAATAATTTGTATAATATAAAATTTAAAGATATTTAGTACAAAATAGTAGTATTGTTCTCTGAAAAAAATTGTATTTCTGACTTACATTTTCTTTTTTATCACAGTAAATCAAGAGGAGTTCATTGCTATTATGACTGGTGACATTTAAAGAATTACAAGGAAAAACACTAAGAATGTTGCAGTAATCATCTTATATTCTATTTTTGTGCTTGGAGGCATGTAAAAACACACACCCCAACTTAGTTTTTGTTTTTTTCCCAAAAGGGACCAAAAATAAGCATCTTATGTATTCATATTTTACTACTGTTAAGTTTCTTTGTACGAAAAAATATTGTTAGCACTCTAATAGTTCATAGCTTTGTAATTATAATACAGCTTTTTATATATATAAAGTTTAAAAAATTGAATCGTGGTACAACTTATTTTTATTCGACATTAGTCCCTTTTGTTTTGGTGTACATGTTTTTCAGACTTTCATTAATAAAATGTTTATTTTATTAGTATTTTAAACTTTTGTAAATTTTCTGTTTCATTTTGATTCCAAATATTTATTAGCCCCCAATAGTATCTTTCTTAAATCTTTTCTCTTTATGCTACTGGTTTCAGAAACAAAATTGAAATATAAATAGCAATAGAATAACACTTTTTTTCCACTACAAGTTTAGCATTTCATGTTTCCATACAAGATGATGACTCAGTACAGGTGTCCCCCCAAAATGTATATACAATTTGAATAATTATTAATTATAATGGGTTAAATCTGAAAAGAAACATCAATTGAGCTATTAGCTGTTAATGTGTTTGTACATTTTGGGGGACATTATGTATAAGCAAAATTTCTTTTTAAAGAGTCATGTCTGTCAGTTTGGACAAAAAGTTTTGTGCATATAGATCAATTTATTCTAGGGTATTATGTTCTATAACATTTTTGGTGTTTAATGTAAGTTTATGTCAAATACTGATATTTTTTTCTTAAACTAACTGAATATAGTTTGAATCAATTAACTTTTTAAAAAATATATTTTGATTTTTTTTTTTTTTTTCAGAGAAGAAGGGAGAGGGATAGAAAGTTAGAAACATCCATGAGAGAGTAATATCTATCAGTTGCCTCCTGCACCCTCCCTACTGGGGATGTGCCCACAGCCAAGGTATATGCCCTTCACAAGAATCGAATCTGGGACCCTTGAGTCCGCAGGCTGATGCTCTATCCACTGAGCCAAACTGGCTAGGGCTGAATCATTTAATTTCTTGACAAAGTGAAAGATTTAAATTTTGGAATTTTGATCTGTTAAGATAATTATAATTCAATTAAACATAACCATGCAAATAGAAAATTATAAGCCACAGAAATCATTTAAGACTGTTTTACCTGCCGAAACCGGTTTGGCTCAATGGATAGAGCGTCGGCTTGGGGACTGAAAGGTTCCGGGTTCGATTCCGGTCAAGGGCATGTACCTTGGTTGCGGGCATATCCCCAGTAGGGGGTGTGCAAGAGGTAGCTGATCAATGACTCTCTCTCATCGATGTTTCTAACTCTCTATCTCTCTCCCTTCCTCTCTGTACAAAATCAATAAAATATATTAAAAAAAAAAAAGACTGTTTTACCTGTATAAAGGATCATTCTGTGATTTACCAGGAAACAGAAGAGACAGACACTGTAGGTGTTGATAGGTTCTTCTGCCTGTAGTATATGTTGGGGAGAAAATAGTTATGGGAAATAGGTAATAGAGAAGTAATATCTATACTGGTTTTCACTAATAATCTGGTTCCTGGTGATATGGGCTCTCCAGGAAGAAAGTTGAGTTGTTTATTCCAGTGATCTTTCCTTATTTATTGTTTTAAATGTGTAAGGTACAATAATATGAGGCCCTTTAAATGTTGTGAACCTCCTAGAGTATTATATAAAGTTATCAATGACAAATTTAACAAAAAAAAAAACTTAATAGGAAGTAATATAACAGTGGTGACATTTCAGTAGTTACCTAGAAAGCAAGTTAATTGTTCATCATATTAAAATTTAATTTTGAATATGAAATAAATATTTATAGTAGTACAATATCCAAGGCAACAAATAGACTTAGAAATTAAAAATTTTTTTTTATCAATCTACTGATGAAATGCCTTCCATGTCTTGATCACAAAATGTGTGGTAGGTGTATTTGTCATGCAGTGGCATTTCATGATGTAAGAAAATACCTATTTCTTACTAAACTTGTCTAGTATATTGCTGTATTATGTCCTGGTAAACTTTGATAGTTTGGAATTTGTTAGCTAAGATCTTTTTCTTAACCTTAGTTTTGATCCAACAAAGACTACTTTCTAAGGAAGCTATGTCCTATTAGCAAGCTCTTAGATTAGCCTTTGGAAGTAGGTAGTTGTAATGGAGGGAAAATACATAAGAAAAAATCAGGGATGCTTAATAGATGCCCTGGAGTTCAACATATCTAATTTTATTTTATTTTATTTTATTTAAAAAAATATATTTTATTAATTTTTTTACAGAGAAGAAGGGAGAGGGATAGAAAGTTAGAAACATCAATGAGAGAATCATCGATCAGCTGTCTCTTGCACGCCCCCCACTGGGGATGTGCCCGCAACCAAGGTACATGCCCTTGACCGGAATCGAACCCGGGACCTTTCAGCCGGCAGGCTGACACTCTATCCACTGAGCCAAACCGGTTTCGGCCAGCATTTTTAATTTTAATATGCTCATAACATTTGTTCAACACACCACTGTGTTTTCTGAAAAAAGTGATCATTTTCACTCTATGGCATTGCCATAGACTCTTTATCCTCAAGGTCTTCTAAAAGGTCTATGTAAGCCTGACAGCTAGGACATACATTCTGGCGACTTATTGATGCAAGCCTATTCCTGATGGATGGCTCTTTAGAATAAAAATCACTCAGCACATACCAATTAAATGCTAAGTGATAAAAATATTTTTGAAGCATATTTTCTACTATAAAGGACCTTCTTAAATTTAACAGCAGGTTAAAGATTTGGGGTTGGCCTACTAAGGAATATGTAGAGACTTTAAGCAAGGTCCACACTTTCCTTGTTCGTTTTATATTAAGATAAAAATGTTCAATTAAATCAGAAATAGCTGGCCAAAACTGAATTTCCAGGAGACTTTTTCTATATCTGTGTTGCTGGGAGATAATTGTTATTAATTTCAGTCCTAAGGGATGGTGGGACATGGTTCAATATTGGTAGTAAAAACAAAATAACTCCCCCAAAGGAAAAAAAATAAGCAGCAAGATTTGGATTCTAAAAATTTCCTTTATAAAATACTATTTGTTCATATTTATTTGGTTGGTTTCACTGCTATAGCAAAGGTTGAAAGAAATAAAAAAACTGGGAAAACTTTAAAAACTAGAAAATTTATGGGGAATGCAGGAGACAGCCAATCAATGATTCTCTCTTGTCATTGATATTTCCATCTCTATCCTCCCTTCCTCTCTGAAACAATAAAAATATATTTAAAAAATAAAAATTAGAAAATTTAAATCTATTCTAAGAAAAAGGTATTGCTTGGTGGTAAATTCTAAACTCACTTTATTTACTTATTTATGTATGTGTATGTGTGTGTGTGTTTATATTTTTAAGCAGATGAGCAAGCCAAGTGTTTAGGGAACTTGAGGTATCTCAAAGTAGAGAACTTATGTATCATATACTGTTTTTATTTGGTTGAAATAATAATGCTGTTATTTCTATTTGGTCGAAATAAGCCTAAAGATTATAACATTTTTACATAAGTTTTTATGGTCAAGAGACATTTAAAAAAATTGCCTTCAAAAAGCTAATCTTGATTCTTAGTAGCTGTAACGGTCTTCACTTCTAAGGGATCAATTCATATTGAAAGAGAAAAGGCAAATTTTTTCTTAAAGAGTTTTTGTTTCTATTTCATTTATAACTTATATCTTGTCTTTTTTCCAAAGAAGAATTTATAACAAATTTTTCTAGCACAAATACAGTAAGTTTATTAAATCAGAAACAATAGATCGCAAACCAGTGAAAGGAAGAAGAGACAAATTAGGCAACTTCAGTTATTAAGTAACTGGCTAAGATACACTTGAGACTTGGGACAAATTTTCTCCTCATCACAAGTTGCTGCCTTTTTATCACTTTTGCTCTCCTCTTTCCCCCCCTGTTCTCTGGTTGAAATGGGGGGAATAACCTACGGTAGCCTCTCTTCATTCTCTAGCACATTGGCTCGAGCTCTCAGAACTATCAAGGGAAATTGCTAGACCACTCTTATTCCTTAATGTTGTTACTCTACAGACTAGTTCACCTTTTCCTATAGAATCAAGAATCTTGTTCCAGGAATCCATTCTGAGGTAAAAGATGAGTGAGGGATGAGAGGTAAAAGTATTTGACTTAGAATATGACTTACATTATTTATGTAAAGGTTTTTGAAGTGCAAATTCACATCTTATTTGCCAAGGATATATACTACTTTTCTAAAGAAAATCTAGAAACATGAAATTAAAAGAAATTAGGATTGCTATAATATATGACCCAGTGTCTTAAAATATAGCTCATAATTCTGGTAACTATTGAATAATAGACTAACCAATAGGTAATCAATACCTATTCAGGGGTTCCTAAACCTCAAGAAGGCCAGAGATTTAGAGGTGGTGTGGGAGAATCTGGCAGGAGTTATAGGGAAATGATGAGTTGCAGGGAGCCTTTGATGGGGGGAAAAAAACTGCTGAGTAGTTACTGCTTGTAGTGATTAATAGATTTACAATATGATCTTGGATGTTCTAGGATCGCCAGGATATCTAGGGTGTGGGGAACAGCTATCGGAAGACAATGTCATCTAAATTTCAGTTTTTTCCCCTCTGGAACTGACTGCTTGACCTCAGTTTTCAAAAGGGCATGAAACGAAATCTAAGTTCCATACTTTTAAGTTAATGGTGGGTAGGCATCCACTGATGGAATTAAATGGGAACACTTGGCTCTTGTTTCATTTTAAGATTTGTGTTTCATGCATGCATAGAAGTTGGCACACTTCTTCCATTATATATCACTAGAGGCCCGGTGCATGACATTCATGCACTCTGTGTGTGTGTGGGGGGGATCCCTCAGCCCAGCCTGTGGCTGAACAGCACCACCCCTGTGGGAGTGCACTGAACACCAGGGGC